ACACACACAGGTGTGCACATGCCTGGCCTTCATAAGCATCTGGAGCCCTGCAGGCTGACACCCCACTTCTGGCCTCCCCTCCCTGAAACAATACCCCTCCGCCCCCTCAAGTGCTCACAGCCCACCTGCCCCTTGGGACTTCTCTCTCCTAGCAGGTTCCAACATGGACCCTCCCTGGCACCCCTCTGGCGCCCCTGGGGTGAAGGATGGCTGGCCGGCCGTGGTCTCAGGATGCCGCTGTGCAGATTCAGCAGAGCTGAGCAGATGAGGTACCCCAACATGGGAGCTGCCTCAGACTGTGCTCTGGGCTGCCCCGGCCCCTCCCCTTCTTGGCTCAGCCACCACACACACCCTCCTGCCACTTGGCTGTTTCTTGGCCCACCCTGGGAGCAGCTGGCAGGCCCTGACGTCAGGCAGGGGCTGAGTCACTACTCTGGGGTCCCAGTCTGGAGCCTGGCATGAAGCAGGCCCTGGAGTGTTTCTGGGCTGAGAGTGTGTTTCACTCCGATGCACCTCATTGAGCCTGAATCACCCGTCAGAGCTGCTCTCTGTGAGGGGACCCCCTGCCTTTGCCTCTGCCCTGCAAGGCCACTTGTCCTGGGCACCCCAGCCGCCCAGGTCACAACTCCCTGAACCCCACTGGACTTGGGGTCTCCAAGTGCTGGCTGCAGTGCACAGCCATGCCGCAGAAAGGGGTGTGGCCCCTTCAGAGGGATTTTCCAGCATGCATTCATTCATCTCTTCCCTTTCATTCCTTTCGTCATTCATTTGGGAAACGTTGAAAGAAAGCTGCATCGTAACTGGCTTCTCAAACGGTGGATCACATATGGGGGTCACATTGCTGACTAGGAGGGCTGTGAGAAATTTGGCAACAGGAAAAGGTTTCTGAGTGCACAGTGATCGAAAATTAATTTAAAATCTACCATGTGTGGGCTGCAGAGAGAGAACCAAGGAAAAGGCACTTGTCATGCACGTGACCGATCCAGGTCAATTCTAAGCACGGCACACGGTGTACTAGGAACTGCCAGGAATGATCCCGAGCACTGAACCAGAATTAAGCCCTGAGCACCACCAGCAGGTGTAGCACCCAAATGAAAAACAAAACCAAACAAAACCAAAATTGAACATGGGTGAGGGGCCAAAGAGAAAAGACAGTGCAGGGATTACGCTGCTTGCTTTGTACCCGGCCAATCCCGGCTTGATTCCCAGCACGACGTGTGGTCCCCTGAGCACTGCCAGGATTGGTTCCTTGACACCACCAGGTATGGCCCAAAACCAAAAAAGAAAAAAAAATCAATCTTGTGTGTAAATTAATCTGACGTATTTCTGGCAGAGTTGAACCATGTTACATTTTTTCGGGCAAAAATCCCTCATATGGAAGAAGTTTAAGAAGCCCCAGCCAAGTGTGATGGTCAAGAGCACAGATGAGAAGACCAGACTGCAGGTCCTCAGCCCCTGGCCAGCTTTGGGTTCCCGCACACAGCACACTTGCCCTGGCCTGCTTCTTCATCTGCAAAACGGGGGGGGGGGGGGGTACAGCGACGCCTGCCTCAGATGACAGGCAAACGGTTACATGAGTTCATCAGCGAGGACAGGAAATGGTCCTGAGCGACTGTCCAAGGTTCAGGTGCTCTGTGAGGGGACCCCTCCTGCCTCTGTCCTGCCAGGCCACTTGTCCTGGGAACCCCTTGGCTGCTCAGGTCACAACTCCCCCCGAACCTCACTGGACTCGGGGTCTCCAAGTGCTGGCTGCAGAGTTCAGCCATGTTGCAGAAAGGGGTGCGGCCCCTTCAGAGTGATGTTACAGCATGTGTTCATTCATTCATCTCTTCCCTTTCATTCCTTTCGTCATACATTTGGGAAATGCTGAAAGAAAGCAGCATCAGAACTAGCCTTTCAAGCAGTGGATCACAACCCCATATGGGGGTCACACTGCTGAATAGGATGGGTCGTCGGGTAGGACCAGACGAACAGGGATAGTCCCTCCTGTCTCCAGAGGCAGTCGCTCCGGGGACTTCTCTGTCCCCATCCCAGGAGCTGCCATCTTCCACACAGGACCGAGGGCTACATCCTACTTCTCCATGGACGACAGCAGAGGGCCCTGGAGCCTTTGCAGCCACAGCCGACGGGCAGCCAGTGACTGGGCAGTTACAGCCGACGGGAGTCTATGTGGCCCCCCATCACTCCCTGCTGCGCCTACGTCCAGAGGCCCGGCTGTGCGCCTGCCACATCCGAGACCCCGAGGCACCCCACCCCCCCACCAGGCCCCCAGCTCCTCCTGCCCGCATCTTCCCTTATTAAAAGGGGCAGGGCCACCATGGACCCCAGCGCTGTCAGGCTCTGTCCCAGGAGGGATGCTCACTCAGGGGAGCGGCCACAGGGGGAGGGGCTTCACCCCAATTAGCGCCGCGCCTTCGGGAGAGAATTAGGGCTTCCATCCTGGACAATGAAGTCATTATTGGGTAAATAATTCATAACCCCAAGAGAAGGGGTGAGCTGCCAATAAACAGGAATCCGCTCAGAACTGGGCTGGGTGAGGGTGGTCACCAGACCGCAACCCCACCCCCCCTTCCCCTTCACGGCTCCTCTGGGCTCAGGCTGCAGGTACGGGGGGCGGGGTGTGGGTGGGTTGTGGGGGGATCGATATTTGGTTGAACAGCCAAGCTCTGAGCATGGACCCGGAGCCCAGGATGGGTGAATGAGAGAGGGGAAACCCCCTGAGGCACCATGCCCTCACCCGATGTGGGTGATGCTCAGAGCCCACACAGGGAGGTGACTGAGGCTCAGACGTGAGCCCAGACTCCAGCCCAGAGTGACCGCTCCCTCCTGCCACGACCCTTAACCTCACTCTCCAGACTGGCCCTCGCATCCGGCGGCCTATGCCAGCTTGGCGCCTCCTCCCTACAGGCTGCAGACCAGCCTCCCCTGGGGTTGGGGTGACTGTGGGACACATTTCTGAGTGCCCCACCCTCTCCTAGCCCTGCCACATTTTCCTGATGAGGGGGGACGCCCCAGCTTCCGGCTCTGCTCCAGGAGGGGGAGGCCTATCCCTGGGAAGGAGCTCTCTGCTGGGGTGCCGTTGAAGCCCAGCCTCAGGATGGGGCCCGCTCTGTCCCCAGTTATGATCACCTAGAAGTCTCTCCCAGAGAACCCGCTGGAGGAGTGGGGGGAACCTCAGGACTCGTGGGGGGGGGTTCTCAGGCTGAGGCTCCGTTGTTGGGTTCTCTGGAAGGGCCCGCAGGATATCACTAGCACCCACACAACCAGCCCTCCTGAGCTCATCTGTCACATAGCTACCAGGGCCACCCGAGGTGGCAGCCTCCAGGAAGAGGCTGGAGACACGTGGGCTCGGCACCTCAGTTGTCAGGCATCTGGAAGGATGTAGAATTTTCTGTGGTGAGTGTGGGTGGTGAAGTCTCGTGTGTCCCCTTGGACCTGTGGTCTCCTGCCGAAGGTGGGACCCCTTGTGTCTTTGGATTTCTTCACCGCAGCCGTCCTAGGAGGGCTACACATAGCCATGTCCAGCCAGTCCCCAGGGAACGACCCTCCTGGCCACAGAAGGAGCATGCCAGCAGCCAACAGAGCTCTGGTTGGGAGTCCCCCATTGGGTGGGGGGACATGGCCACATGCATAGTTCCAGATGTTGGTCCACACCCAGCCTGGAGCTCCCCTTGCTTCCTGCTGACAGAGACGGTCACCCATAAACTATAACCTATAACCTATAACCCCAGAATGCTCATGTCTGTCTCTGTGCAAGCCAATGTTGACACCCAGAGGCTGAGAACAGCTGGGAGTCTATGGGCTCCGCAGAGAGAGAGAGAGAGAGAGAGAGAGAGAGAGAGACAGGCAAACACAGAGAGATACAAAGAGAGACAGAGAGAAACAGAGACAGAAACAGAGAGAGACAGAGAGAGACAGAGAGAATCCAGGATCACTGCAAAGCCCCATAGTGACAGACTGGGAACCCTAAATGCTCAAGTACCTCCCAGACACTGTCTGACTCCCTCTATCCCATCTTCACCCCAGGCCCAGGCTCTGGCTCTGTGGCCACAGGAAATAGGATGTAGGGGTGACAACTCCAGCCTGTTTCTGCAGTCTCCGTCCTGGCCTGCTGGCGAGTGTCAGCACAAACATATCAACTGTTTCCCTGTTTCCTTCAGATTCCTGCCCCTATGTAGTCTACATTGCCCGACCTCTTTTCTGGCCGCCTGGTCCCTTAACCCAGGTGGAAGAACTCTAAGAATGTGAGGCCAGACCTCTGTAAGCATAAACCAAGGAAATAATCCAAGCAGCCAAGCAAAGATGTTTTTGCCGAGATCATTTTAGGTGCCACCTTCACACATATTCTGATAAACAAGCATTGTTGGAAAGGTATTCACCATACCATTTCAATAAGGAAAAAAAAGATAGACACAAAAGAATACTTTGTAGTTGTATTGGGGGGGGGGGGGGCGGAGGGTGGGAGGATGATTCCCAAGCAAGCTCTGGGAGACACAAGGGCCATTCCTGGTGACACTTATAAGCTGACCTGGCCAGATGGTTCCGTGCTGAGACTTGGTGATAAGATCCTGCTTGGGCATTGATGGGGACACCCGGGCTATGCCTGGCAGAGCTGGTGGGAGGTGGGGAGGGTCATGCCAATCCAGGAATCAGACTCGGGTTTTTGTATGCAAGGCATGTGCTCAGGCCCTTTGCACCATCTCTCAGGTCCAAGAATTGTCATTTTTTTTTCTGGAGGAGCTTAAAGGTGACTGAGCTGCTGATGGCCCCCAGACCACCTCCTGGGAAAGCTGATATGTGTGTGTGTGTGTGTGTGTGTGTGTGTGTGTGTGTGTGTGTGTGTGAAGGACAATCTCAACAGGGCCTGGGAGAAGCTCGCCCAGAGAGCTTTAAGCACCCCCTTAAGAAAGCTGCGGTGCAACAGGATCAATCCCCCTGATTCCCAGAGGGGTCAGCAGGGTGCAGCATTCTACCCATTTCCGCCACTCTTCCCTGCCTACCTTGCGCCGTCCGTCTCTGGCAAGCTCGGGATTCGTCCCCAGGATGCAAAGCCCTCGATGACCACCAACACTTATTGCAGCGGCATGAGCATTACCCGGAGGCCGGGCCGTCTAGAGAGAGAAGAGGAGAGGGAGGGGGGAAAAGGAGTTATCTAGTGCGAATGCAGCTCAGAGAATCCCCGTGTCTTAGATACTCCTGAGTCCTTTCGTGGACACTTGTCTTTGTCTGAGATGTCACACACAGTGGCTTCCAATTCTGCCATGCCCCCACCCAGAGACAAAGCTGCCCGGCAGTGAGCAGAGAAACCCATGGGGCGGAAACGTGATACGCCGCCCACGTCTAACACGAAGAGCCTTCATTTCTTGGGTGCTTTGAGGGAGGAAATCAGGAAGGAACTTCCACCCCACCCAGACGAGATGAGGGAAATGGAAGCGTTTTTGATAGAGCGCCAAGGAAAGGAGTCAAATCTAGAACTCCAGACACAAATCATGATTTCTTTCAGACAATGGGCAAGATGAGTTCCCTGGAGAAAACTGAAAAAAAAAAAATCCAGTAGACGGAGGGTTTCTAGACTGGGTGGGGCCACAGGGTGCTTCCTGGGATCCTCTTGCCAATGCAATGCCCATGAGCTCCATCTTCACGAAGAAAGCAGCACAGCCCACTCAAAACACACCATCATTCCCGGGGAATCAATATCTTTTTCTAAATGGCATATAGCATTATCCATTGATTTTCCTTTTTTCCTCTTAGCACTCGCCAATCCTGGGGAGCAGGGCCAGCTGGAACGCGACGGGAAGCATTTGGACAGGTAAATAAGTTATTGTAAACAAATTCCACCTTCCTACGGCACTCGCGACATCGCCACCAGGGTCCTTCTCCAGCCGACCTTTCTGGGCTGCAGTGACAGCTTCGCGCGAGTCTGATCAAACAGCCACTTCGAAGCTGAAGGTGGCAAAAATAATATTTCTCCCAAGGACAGAGTGTTCCCTTTATGATCAAGAAATAACCCCTGCAGGGAAATGAAATAAGCCAAGGTCCCCATTTAATCCTGACACGGAGCCAGAATCAGGAGTGCAGTTCCTCCACCACACAACCATGGAAAGCACAGGGATCAATCGATCCCCTTTGCCACAAAGTATTGACAGTGCTGGTGAGAATTTACGATGGACCTATTTCTGGGAAAGCTTGGTGAGGAGAGAGGTTTGTGGGGGGGCAGTAATCAGACCATCGTTAGGTCCTTGAGAACCCCATTTATTCATTTGCTCATTCATTCCACTCATTCATTCACTCACTTGCTCATTCATTAACTCGCTCCTTCCTTCCTTCCTTCATTCAACAAGTATTTACTGAAGCCCACTCTAGGTCAGGCACTGCTCTCGTTCTAGAACTTGCCTCGCTCAGAGTCTCAGGCAAAATAGCACCTTCTCCTGACATCCTTGCAGGCCCTAAGTCAGAAATTCCTCCCTAGAAGGAACCATTCTCAGCTTGCATCTGAATTGGTTTCCTGCCTCTGGGATTTTCTTTCTTGGTCTTGCTCTTCTTTCTTCTCACCATCCTCTCCTCCCGGCCTTCAAATCCCAGACACCCAGATACCAGATTTTATCTTACTGCTGGACTCATGTTCCCAGAAACTCTCACTGGGCTGTGCTCATCGAACTTGGATTCATTCTCTTTCCTTCCTAGAAAGGCACCAGGCTTTGCCCATGCACCTCAGTGCCCTTGGCTCTGCAGAGATTCAAGGCATTCCATGTGATTTTAAAAGGAAGAATGAGTGACAGATTTCAAGGAATTAGTTTGTTCCCCATGTTGGCTGCGTGCAAGGCAAACGGCGATAGCACAGCAGTAGGGCGTTTGCCTTGCACGCAGCCAACATGGCCAACCCGAGTTCGATTCCTCCGCCCCTCTTGGAGAGCCCGGCAAGCTACTGAGAGTATCTCGCCCGCACGGCAGAGCCTGGCAAGCTACCTGTGATGTATTTGATATGCCAAACACAGTAACAACAAAGTCTCCAATGGAGGCGTTACTGGGCCCGCTCGAGCAAATTGATGAACAATGGGAGGACCGTGACCGTGAGTTTGTTCCCCAGGGAACATGATAGAGCCTTAAGTTTGCAGAGTTCCTGGCTGGGGGGAAATGAATTCAAACCCAGGACACTGCTGGGAGTCTGGAGGGGAGGTTTTCCTTCTCCCCATGAAAGGCAAAGACTCCCTTGAATGTGATGGTTCAGAACTTTGGTCTAAGGGACCCTCTCGCATCCACCCATGTCAACCTCAATGAGCAGCTTCCAAGTTTAGGGAAAATGAAACTAAAGAGGAGAAGGATGAGGGACTTTCACTCGGTTTCACAAAACACAGGAAGGATGAACTCCATCACAGTCCTGGGGAAGAGGCTCCAGGGCTGCCTGGGGACATGGAGAGCTTCCCTGATGGGGAGCAGGCCACTATGCAAGGGGGACTCCTGGGGTGTGAGCAACACAATTGAAGGGCACAAGCTCTGTGGCCAATGTACCACCACCACAACCAAGCATGTGTGGGTTGGACATCACAACAATAGTTTATCACAACCTGGCGATGCTCAGGGCTTACTCTTGACTCCGTGCTCAGGAGACTGTATGGGATGCCAGGGATTGCATCCACATCAGCCGTGTGCAAGGCAAGTGTCCTACCCTCTGTGCGATTGCTTTGGCCCTATCACAGTCACAGTAAGAGCAGCAGGAAAGAGGGGGTGCAAGAGGAAACCAAAGGAAGAGCCAGAACAGGGGCTGTTTGGGGGAGCAGCTTCCCTGAATGGAAAACTTCAAAATGAACCTCAAAGAAACAGTGGGCGTTCACTGACACTCAGTGTTGATAAATAAAGCGGATCCCTGTTGTGAAGCAAACCGAGAGTCATGAGAATGGTAAACAAGGGCCTCAGGATTGTTATTATTTTTGATTCTCATAAGAGATAACCATTTGGGGAGTGGCAGAGAGATAGGACTGGGGTTAATATGCTTCCCTGGCAAGAGGCCAAAACCCCCAATTGCATCCCAAGCACCACGTGATTCCCTGAGCACTGCAGGGAGGAACCCCCAAGCACAGAGCTAGGAGTAGCCCCCAAGCACTGCTGGGTATGATCCAAACACGCTCCTCCCTCCAGAAAAAAAAATCACCATGTGGCAGCGAAACTGCTTTAAGAGAGGAGCAACGAGCTCTCACACCCATCCATGCTCCCCAGGTTGGGGCCTGCATATCTGCTCTCGTGCACCCCACAGGGAGACCTCCTTCACATTCTCTTGTCAGGAGGGAAAAACCCCAGGCCATGCAGGAGACCCACCAAGCAAAGCCTGAAGGCCTCGTTGCCAGCCCTGAAATAACCACACTCAGGGGACAATTCCTCAGGGTCCAGGCAGCTGAGGGTCTGAAGGACCCGGACAGCTGTGCCTTTACAGGGAGGGAGGACGGAGGGAAGAGGCAGGAAGCCGTGAGTGCCCACATGGCCTTGTTCAGCTGCCTCCTCATCCCACAAAGGGGCATAACTGGCCACAGACCAGACCCACTAGGCATATCCTCTGCACAAGGGGAGCCTCACATGGCATGTGTCCTTCAAGGAGAGACACAGCCTTCGGAGGTCAAGGGGCTACCATGTGGGGCTCAAAGGCTGCAAAACTTCAGTTTCTCAGGGATGGTGTTTTTAACACAGCAGAGCACTGCTGGTACCTGGTGCTGTTGGAATAGATCAAGAAATGGAGACTTAAAAGGGGAGAGAGAGAGAGAGAGAGAGAGAGAGAGAGAGAGAGAGAGAGAGAGAGAGAGAGAGAGAGAGAGAAAGGAAGAGGGAGAGAGAAGGAGAGAGGGAGAGAAATAGAGAGGGAGAGAAAGAGAGCAAGAGAGAGAGAGAGAGAGGAGAAAAGTGCAGAAGGGCAAGGGGTAGGGGGGGGGTGAGAGAGAAACAGGGGACAGTGGTGGTGGGAAATGTACCCTGATGAAGGGACGGGTGTTGGAACGTTGTATGACTGCAATCCAATTATGAACAGCTTTGTATCTATGGATATCACTGTGACTCAATTTAAAACTATAATAAAATAAAACTGAAAAATAGGAAAAGAAACCAAGACTTACGGAAAACAAAAAGAATTGCAGAAAGTCACCCAGCAAGGTCAGCTTTGGGGTGTCCCATCCCTCCCACTCATTCTGAGCCCCTGAGCCCATGAAGCTGTGAGGTTGGGGATGTGGTGAGGCTTCAGGCCCCATCTGGAGACAAAGCAAAGGAGTCGCCGACGTCCTTCCCGGCTGCAATTACTGAGCTCAGCGCATGCTTCTTCTTCGTCCCACCTGGCTGCGTCCCGTACCCCAACACCCACTTCCGGCCCACACCCAGATGCCTGGGGGACGGACAGGTTCCCCAGAGCCCTCACCCGGCACAGACCCCACCTGCAACTCCCCTAGCACGGCCCTCTGCCAGCACTCTGCCAGCTCCCTGGGATGCCATCCATGCTGCGTGCGCCCACCTTTTTATTACCGCATATTCCCCAAGAGGAAAAAAAATTAATTTAAATTCTCTCTAACAAGAAATTCAATTCTAAGGAGTAAGATTCTGTCGGGCAGGGTTGAGCTGGGGCGGGTCATAAACCATGGCAACAACTGAGGAGTTTTTGGGTACCTGGGTCCAGTCAATGCTAGCAACCAATTTGACTGTCCCTACCGCTCCATCCACACTCCCCTCCCAAACACCCATCCGAGACACGCGTGCACCATTCATTGATTGATGATGTTCTTTTATTTTCGCGGGGGGTGGGGGGTCAAACCTGGCAATGCACAGGGGTTACTCCTGGCTCTGCACTCAGAAATTACTCCTGGCGGTGCTCAAGGGACCACAAGGGATACTGGAAATTGAACCTGGGTCGGCTGCGTGCAAGGTAAACGCCCTACCTTCTGCGCTATTGCTGCAGCCTGATTGTGACGTTCTTTGAAATGTGAACTTTCTAGATCCATCTCTCAGGGCCAGGCCCTGTCACCTCTGCCTGGCTTCAAACCCACTTCCTCCTCTCTCCTCTCCCTGCAGCCTGCGCTCACTCACCTCGGAGTGCATCTCTCTGCTACCCACAGCGCAGGAGAAGTGGAGGTGGGTGTCC